AATATTCGCTTTATGGTTTCTCCTGAAAGTTTTGTTTTATCTTCTAAAGTTGTTCTGGCATCCATATCAGTGTGTTTTTTTAACATCAGGCATTAAATCATTTTGTAGAGAATTTCCCCTAATACTGGCAGGGAATGATTGAACTACAATTGATATTGGGGCCTGCAAGAGGCCCTGCAGGGCATTTCCCAATGGCAAAGGGTTACCCTGCCTGTCCCTTGTTGATCTACATTCATTAGTTCAATGTCAGCCTTTGCCACACCTTCTGCATACTCCAAAAGCCTGAAGCCTTCCGTTTGAACTATTTCTAGAATAAGCATTGTTTCTAGGAGCACCTTGCCTACACTTCCTTTTCAGATAACCTTGTTTACCACAATTAAAACACCTAACATTTTGATTTTTATTCATATTTTTAGAACACAGTGCTCCTATCCAAGTATCATCATTAGAAGTATAGGAGCCAATACTGACTGTATTTCTGATCCATTCTTCAATGGGTACTGATCTTGCCCTTAAAGGCCTAATCACTCTTTTACATTCTGCATTAGCATTTTCAAAAGCCAAAGTTTCAATTAATATTTGTCTAGTGTCTGGATCAGATATCATTCTATTTACAGCTGATGTTGATCTGTGTAAAAAAAATCAGTGAAAACTTCTTTTGAGCCTTGTATAATTTTAGTAAATGATTCAGTTCTCTTTCCTGGTTCTTCAACCCTGTCCCATTCATTCAAAGGTGTTATATGGCATAGAATCAGGGTGTTATCACCCAACATACACTGTCTTTGCAAGTCAGCATACTGATTCTCACCAAGAATTTGGTCTTGGGAAATGTTATGACTTCTAGCCCTACCTCATTTTTCCAAGGCCCTGGCTTCCTCTCTCCATCAAGTTTTCCATTGTAATTGAGAACCAGCTTCTAATACTGCTGAAACTAAATCCTTCCAGTCTTGTGGAATAATTTTATTCCTAGTTGCCCATGAATTTAACATCTGTCTTACAAAAGGTGAATGCATAACACATGAAACTACTGCTTCCTTTAATCTCTTTAAGTCTAACATATCTACAGGATTAACTTGGCGATAAGTATCATCTGGTGGTTCTTGAACAGTAACTGCATATATTAAAGTTGGTGTTCTAATAACCTTAGGCCATTCCTCTCCTGTTTTACAATGCAATGGTATGGTACTTTCTGCTCTAAATTCCTCTGTCTGTGTTTGAGCATTTCTTCTTTTTTACATTAGTATACCTTTTCAAGGCCTGCATCCTATTAATCCACTTGTCATATTTAGCACAAAAAAACTGCACCAAGGCTATTATTGATAAGATATTAATTGCCATACTGATAGTATGTATTATTTGTATTATATCAGTGTTGGTTAAATCATTAATATTCCCATATTCTGATTCTAACTTCAAGCCTTCTAAAGTAGCAGTATAAAGAGCCCTAGCACCCTTCATTCTTATGTTTCCCATTCTTAACATAGAAAAAAATTCTTTTTAATATTATTTAGCTCTCTTTTACTGTCCTAAAGGATTTTCCAAATTGCTCACCAGTTCTGTTGACTTCTCTGGGCAAGCAACAGCCAACTGCTAGTGTGGAGAAGTCCAGACAGCAGGTGTAACAGAGCTGGCTGGTGTGACCCCTCCTTCAGTGTGGTTCTACCACCCATTGGGCACCAATTGTTGTTATCTGTTTTTTATTATCTACGGTGGCTGCCCTTTAAGCAACAGCTTCAGGGGCCACAACCTGAGAGGATTCTGTTCCCTCAGGCACTGATTCTTTCAAAGCTACTAAGGGAAATTTTATCTTGATCTAAAGAACTCACAATTCAATGGTTTAGGTGGAATTCTGCTTGCTCAGAGAGACTAAATAACAAGTAGCTAACTATCTCCCTTTGCTGGTGTCTTCCAAAAAACCCCTGTGTCCTTATTTCAGACCCAACTTAAAAAACCCTTCCTACATGTGATTTCTTCCTACCACTTCCTGTCAGCTACTTCCTGACTCAGCTTCCTGCTTGCAGGTTAATTTTATTGTTAATCAAACACATCTTTGAATTGTTAACAAAAGCAGTAGGAAAAATGCAATACACGTTAAAATAATATTCCCCAACAGGGGGCAGTTGTTTTTGAGACAGAATCTCACTGTGTAGTTCTGGCTATCCTGGAACTCTATGTGTAGACCAGGCTGGACTTAAACTCACAGGGATCCTCCTGCCTCTGCCTCCCAAGTGCTGGGGTCAAAAGTATGTGCTACTATACCCCACCTCTGTGGAGGTTTTGTGAAAATAACCACAACTGCTATAAGCTCGTGAGTGCAATTGTCCTATTGTGTTCAAATACAGTATTGCACAGTGATGTGTGACAAGACTTTTTCTAGGGAGGGCCAATATTCTACTCACCCAAGACAGGGAGCCAATGACAGACCAAAGTACAGATACCACCAAAGTCCAAATTGATGAACCATAAGTTTTATTGAAGTTACTATCTTAGAATGGTTTCTTTTGCTCTGAAGAGACACCATGACCATGGCAACTCCTACAAAAGAAAGTATTTAATTGGGCCTGGCTTACAAGTTCAGAGGATTAGTCCATTATCGTGTTGGGAAGCATGGCAGCATGCAGGCAGGCATGGTGCTGGAAATGGAGCCAAGAGTTCTACATCTGGATCAGCAGGCAGCAAGAAGAGAGAGTGAGCCACTGGGCCTGGCTTGGGCTTCTGAAACCCCAAAGTCCACCCCTAGTGACATACTACCTCTAACAAACCCACACCCACTCCAGCAAGGCCACACCTCCTACTGCCACTCCCGAAGCATTAAAATATGGGTCTATGTGGGCCATTCTTAATCAAACCACCACAGCTACTTACAGGACTACGGGTGTGGAGTTACTTACAGGAGTGGAAATGACTCAAAGACAACTGCATCACCAAAGCCCACGCCAGCATGGGTGGCAGCTCACAGAGCTGGGAACCTGGAGCACACTACACAGCCTGCAGGCAGCTCAACAGGTTGGAGAGTGTCCTTTCCAAGTGACATAGTAGGGCTAAACCTCTTCCAGGAAGCTCAGCTGTTTTCTACCTCTTCCAAGCAGCTGGTCTGGTCTGGTCTTTTTTGCCACTTGGCTTGTTTGAGAGTAGTCTTGTCTCAGTAGTCTTTATTGTTTACTCTTAGAGGGAGGGTCCTAGTGAATCTGGTCAATTTCTGGGACTTAATGACGCTTCCTTGAGTTGTTTGCCTTTCTGCTTAGGGAGCTTCCCAGCAGGATAGGATATTTCAGTCTCAAGGAAACTGTTACACAGCACACTGCAGTCCTCTCCAACCTCCGGCTCTCAGTCTTTATCTACCCTCTTCTACAGAATTCCCTGAGCCATGTGAGAAGGGGTGTGACACAGGTGTCTCATTTAAGGTTGGGAACTCCGTATTTAGTCTCTGAACTCTAATCAGGAATGGATCTCTGTATTAATCTCTATCTGATGCCAATATTTGTTTTCTGGAGTTCCCTTCCATTCCCAGCACCATCTTTGATTCTCTGGCAAGGGTCTTTCCCTTTGCTCATTGGTCCTTTCTACTCCTTCAGGTTATGTGTCCACAAACATCTGGAGCCTACTGTTCTTTCAAGCTGAAGGGCAAGGCACTAAAAAGCTAACTTAAACTGGCATATAATGAGGTCAGGCTGTGGTGCACGCACGCCTTTAATTCCAGCACAGCCAGAGTTACACAGAGAAACCCTTTCTCAGGAACCAAAGGAGGCAGAGGCAGGCAGATCTCTGCAAGTTTGAGGCCGTCCTGGTCTACAGAGCTGGTTCCAAGACAGCCAGGGCTACACAGAGAAACCCTAGGCAGAGAGCGGGGAGGGGGGAATATAATGAGATGGACTTGAAGATTCTCCTGGGGGAAATCCCAATTGCCTGAAGGTATAAATTCTGTATGAGTCACTTAAATTTTTCTTTCTTTTTTTTCCCCCCCTTTGCTTCCTGAGAAAGGGTTTCTCTGTGTAGCTCTGGCTGTCCTGGAACTTGCTCTGTAGACCAGGCTGGCCTTGAACTCACAGAGATCAATCTGCCTCTGCCTCTCAAGTGCTGGGATTAAAGGTGTGCACCACCACCACCTGGCTTCATTTATATTTTTCTTAAGAAGAAACTGACATTCTTCTGCCTAGGTCAAGGTGTTGGATATTTTATGACTATCTCTAAAGCGGCTCTTTACCAGCAAAAGGCCTTTGAAGCCATTTTGTGCCGCCAAATGACAACTCCTTCACCAGCGGTTACAGATGAGGGAAGTACATTTTCTTAAGTCTTCTGAGATTTCTTTGTCATTAGCCAATGGCACTTGTCTTTCAGTGTTAGAATACTTAATATCTCATTTTCAAAAGTTCCTTTGTGTGTAACTTTTTCTTTTGTAAAATACATACTAGAGTTCTGCAGAGAAACAGAACTGGTATCGTGTATAATTACACATGATTATGGAAACTGGGGGGGAAATCAGCAGAGTGGACCAGTTGACTACACATGGAACAGGCAGTTTGAAGGGAGAATGCTAGAGAACTGTCACTTGAGGAGGGTGGCTCTTTTGTTCTATTTAGTTTTTAGCTGATTAGATAGAGACTACTGACATCATGGAATACAAATTTTTTTACACAAAAATTCATCAACTTAAACATTTAGGTTATCCAAAAATATCCTGCCTGATGACACGTGAAATCAGCCATGACAGCATCATATCAACACCTGTAAAGATTGCACATTTAATTGAGTGGTTTTGTTTTAGAGATTGGGTCATTGTTTAACACAGGTGAACCCATTCACCATGTACAAGGTCCCTGGTTTCTTCTATTACACCCTCAAATATTCCCTAAATAAAAATTCTATTTCTGTTTTCCCACAAACACACTTACTTTACACACACTGGCTCTGCATAGACCATCCTTCATGCCAGAAATTATCCAGCCATTGGTAGCCTCTTGTAAACCAGTTTCTACTTCTCCATGGAATCTATCCCTTAGGGCAACCACAGAAGACCTGAGCAAAGAGGAGTCGGTTGACAAAGAGGAGGTGACTGATGAGGAGGAGTCAGCTTATGGAGAGGAGTCGGCCGAATATCAGCGCATGTTCAAGCACTTCAAAGAAAATAAGGTAGAAATCGCAAGCGCCATCACAAAGCCGTTTCCTTTCCTTATGAGCCTCCGAGACCGCGGCTTCATCTCTGAGCAGAAGTTTCGGGTAAGTGAGGAGAATGAACTCAGCCCTGACAGTAAGCCTGCCCCACTGCATTATGCTGAACCTCTGGGTGCAGCCAACAGGCTGAAGGGCCTCCAGGGAGGAGGGACCTTCACTTCTTGGAAGTCAAAGGTGAGAGGAGAAGCGGACATCACAGGAAACATTCATATCCATCTCTGCTGTAACCGGGGCTGAGGCACATGGTGACAGCGGAGGGTATAGGAAGTGGGAATGCACTAAAGGGCGGAACACCTCAGGTTTCCTTGTGCAATGTGACAAAAGAAACTAGAACGTGAGTGGACACGTCCAAGCAGTGCTTCCTCACAAAGCCTACTTATTCCAAATCCCGGAGCCTGCGAGTTTTGAAAGTCACAGGCAATTGGGTTTTGTGAGAATAGAACCAGAAATCATGCTCACTTCTGTCTGTCCAAATTGTTCCTGTTCTTCAGGCACCACTGAGGCCCTAGAATGTAGTAAAGGATGGTGATGGGGTCCCCTGGGGATAAGGAAGACAAGTCCTCTCTCCTTTGTGCGTTGTCTTTGCCCTGTGGCCAGGATGCTCACTTTGTTGCCTTGAGCCCTGCAGACCAGGTCAGTCTCCAGGAGTTACTGTCTGGTCTCCAGACAGCCTCTCATGGCCTGTTAGGGCAACAGTGGAGCATCTTGGCCTGGCTCTTACAGACACACCATCGTTCTTCAGAACTACTCTTTCCTGTCAACTGTGTGTCAACATCAGAGTTGCTCTGGATAAGCAAGGGTCTGTTATTACAGGGAGGACATGTAAGATGTCACCTGATATATGTAAAACTCAGACACTTCACAGGAAATCAAATGGTGTTTGAACCAGTCTAAGCCTCTCTTGTAATTCATAAATTCATTCTGACATAATTCTTCATTCAATATTTTTAAGGATTCTCAAGAAAGGTGTCAAAACCTGGTCCCGGTGGGCATAGTGGTGTATGACATCCTTAGTGACCTACAGAACAAGTTCAGCCTGCCGCTTCTGGAAGTGATATTCAGCAAAGTACATCTGAAGGCCTACCCAGACTTAGAGGAGACTCTGAGGCGCTTCCTAGACGGTAACTACAGCTCTCACCTGCTTCAGGGAATTCAAGACAATTTCATTTGTTTGTCCATTCATCTTTAGCTGACAGTTGACACACACTTTACTGAATGACTATGACACACTAAGCACTGATTACAAAGGGAAGAAACCACACATGGCCCATGTGGTCAAGAACTTACACATAAGCCAAGGAACCCAAAGATAAGAGCCCAGCCGGGAACTGATTTGTGTGCTATAAAATACAAAGCTTTACTCTCTACTTTGTTTTCTGGGAAGGGAAGAAAATGTGGATGATAAGTTTCTCTAAGAAGGAGGAAGTTCTCAGATACTTGCAGACATGTCCAATGATAAAGATATATGTGTGTGTGTGTGTGTGTGTGTGTGTGTGTGTTCCTTGTATTAAAAAAATGTACTCATTCAGTAGAGTCCTACATCAACTTTCTTCTCCAAAAAGTGGAGAAATCACAAAGGAAGCTCAGCTCCAATGCCTCCCAAGATGCACTAAAGGACAGCCCAGTGGGGCCAGGGAAGGGGACAGTCCCGCCAGGACATTCTGAGCGCCTCCTGCCTCCACTGTTGATTCCTTCACCATGACTGCCCCTTGGTTATATACTGAGGTCTTGAATGGAAACTGCAGAGCTTAAGACACCCCATGGAAAAGAAATGTCTGGATAACTCACTGATCTTCTCAAGCAACATTACAGGGGCCAACAAACAGAAGTAGACCATGAATGGACTAAGACGTGAAAGAGCCTTTAGGAGAGACAGAGAGACTACCGTGATTAAGCAAGGCACTTTAGGGAAGGGATGAGGGCCTGCATCACACCTAGTCAGGGGCTGAGGACTCAGACCAATTGTACAGAGACACGGGCAGGTGAACCTTTCAGGACCTCTGAAAGACATCTCTGTTCACTTAACCTGGCAGTTTGTTTTGTGGAAAGATCTCAACCTCAAGGTTGAAGGGTTTTGTCAAAGAAAGCAATGTTCCCCAGAGAATGGTCTGGACTGACAGCTCCTGGTGGGGACATGAGAGCATTAGAGACTGTCTCCCTTATTTTATAAAGTTACCTGATAAACGTGTGGAGTCCCCACTGCAAACCGGAATTACCATTGGTGAAATTCTGCCACTTATTTTATTTTATTTAGGGCAGGGGAGTTCAAGACAGAGTCTCATTATGTAGAGCTGGCTGTCCTGTAACTCACTATGTAGACCAGGCTGGTCTCAAACTCACAGAAATCCACCTGCCTCAGCCTCCTAATTGCTGGGATTAAAGGCACGCCCCAGGCTTGAAATCCTGCCCTTTATTCAATGAAAGAGTTAGAATCATTATTGTTGTTAGGAATGTGACTTTGAGAAAGCAACCCCATGACAAAAAGAAAGAGGAGGCTTCATTCAGTTTAGTTATAAGTGTGAATGGCTGCTGTGCATGTGTATAGTACTACTGGGGTTCTTGAGAGAAGCAGAAGCTAAGAAAGGACATGTGATCAATTACATGACAGTAGTTGACTCAAGATTATATACACAGTGAGAAAAATGACTTATTTCACAGACTGACGGGCCACCACATGTCTTTGTGAATGTCCCAAGAAAGAGTAGGATCAAGAATCTTTGCACAGTTTGGCTACTGACTGGTGGATCCACCTTCATTAGTTTTTGAGGCTGGCTTAACTTGGGGACTTGTTAGACCTTTGTTTCCATCTATTTGTTTTGGGTCATTATCTTCAAATATTCAGGAAGAATGGGAGTATCAGTGAAAGAGTAAGTGTATGGAGAGAGTGTTGGCTTAATGCTATACTTGCAAATCAGAGTTGTGATTACTTTAAATCTAATTACCCATGTATCTTTAAATAAAATAAACTCAGAAATAAAAGCCCAGTAGATCAAGTTCGAGGTGGAGTTGCTGTTGAGACTGAGTCACTTGGCAATGGATGAGGAATACTATCTGAACCCAAGTGGTCTACAATGCACTCCCAGCAGGTCTTCAGATGATCTTGGTGGGAACACTGTACTTAGAGATCATCAATGCCAAGTCTGAAGCTGAAAGCTTGCTAAGTGAAGGCCATGGTGGGACTGGGAGGAGACACTGTGCTCATAGCTTGGGTGGCTCCTACAGACAGAGCCCGCAGCTTGTGTTACCTGGAACTTAAGGAGCAGGTATGAGGGTACTGTAGACTTGTCAAGCAGAAGTGCTCATGCATAGGCTGCTATGGAGTCATCACACAGGCTTTTTAGACGGTCGTTGTTGCTGGCTTTTTTTCAAATGTGTAGGGCCGCCTCCAGTTGGCTGAATTTCAAAATGTGGTTAATGACCTATACAGTTGTCCTGGCTAGCTTTCATTGTCAGCTTGACACAGACTAAAGTCATTTGAGAAAAGCCTTGTTTGAGGAATTTCTTAGAACAGATTATCTTGTGGACATGTCTGTAGGGGGTTGTCTTGATTATTAATTGACATAGGAGACTTCAGTCCACAGTAAAGGACACCATCCCCAGGTAGGTAGTCCTGAACTGTCTGAGTAAGCCAGAGTGTGGGCAGCAAGCAGTGTTCCTCTATAGTTTCTGCCTTAAGTCCCTGACCTGCTTAAGTTCCTGCCCTGACTTCTATCAAGGATGGACTATGAACTGCAAGTATAAGCTTAAACAAACCCTCTCTTTCTTTACATTGTATGTGGTCATGGTACTTGTCACAGCAACAAATGGAAACTAGGAGAGCATCATTGGCCAGTTGGAATGAGGATTTTTTTTGTTTTGTTTTCGAGACAGGGTTTCTCTGTGTTAACAGCCATGGCTGTCCTGGAACATGGAATAAGTTTAAAACTGGTAAAATTGGAAACTTTTACTATTGTTCTGATCACTATTCTATTGTTGTGAAGAAATACCATAACTATGGCAACAAAGGAAAGCATTTAATTGGAGCTTGCATACAGTTTTAAAGGTTTTGTCCATAGCCGTCATGGTGGGGATTATGGCAGCATGCAGGCAGCCTGGCTTGGGCTTTTTGAAACCTCAAAGCCTACCCCCACTGACACACTTCCTCCAACAAGGCCACACCTCCTAATCCCTCCCAAGTAGTGCTACTCCCTGATGAGTAAGCATTCAAATATATGAGCCTGTGGGACCAAACCACTTTTTTTTCCTTTTAAAACGTCTATTCTCTTTCTTTCTTATTTTCTTTCTTTCTTTCTCTTTTTTTTTCTTTTCTTTTTTTGGCTTGAGTATTTTTTTCTTTTATCAAAAATAGATTTTTTTTCTCACATAATATATCCTGATTATAGTTTCCCTTTCCTCAACTCCTCCCAGTTCTTCCCTACCTCCCTTCCCATCCATATCTACCCCCTTTCTGTCTCTCACCAGAAAACAGGATTGTAAGGGATCATAATATAATATAATATGATATGATAAAACAAAAACTAACACATCAGAATTGAACAAAACAAACAGAAGGAAATGAGCCCAAGAGAAAGCACAAGAAACAGAGGCCAATTCATTCACACACTCAGGAATCCCGTTAAAAACACTAAGCTGGAAGCCATAATATATAGGCAGAGGCTGTGTAGTATAAAAAGAGGGAATAGGCCGGGCGGTGGTGGCGCACGCCTTTAATCCCAGCACTCGGGAGGCAGAGCCAGGCGGATCTCTGTGAGTTCGAGGCCCGCCTGGACTACCAAGTGAGTTCCAGGAAAGGCGCAAAGCTACACAGAGAAACCCTGTCTCGAAAAACCAAAAAAAAAAAAAAAAAAAAAAGAGGGAATAAAACAATATATCATTTGTACATGATTATTAATTAGAAATTGCATCTAGGATAGGGATGGGGGCATGTGTTTACTTCTCCTTTTAGTTCTAGGACTCCATCTGGTACAGACTGTGCAGGCCCTGAGCATGCTGCGTCAGTCTCTGTGAGTTAATATATATGTTGATTTTGTTGATTTAGAGGCCCTTGTTTTCTTGGTGTCCTCCATCCCCTCTGGCTCTTACACTCTTTCCACCTCCTCTTTATAGGTTTTCTCTGAGCTTTGAGGGGAGGGATTTGATGGAGACATCCTTTTTAGAGCTGAGTGTTTTATGGTCTTTCACTCTCTATATAATGTCTGACTGTAGGTCTCTGTATTTGTTTCCATCTGTTGCAGGAGGAAGCTTCTCAGATGATGGCTGTGCATGGCACTGATCTATGAGTATAGCAGAATGTCATTAGGAGTCATTTTGATGCTATGTTTTTATTTGTTTATTTTTTGTTATGTTTTATTTTGTTTTAGAATAGTAGTATTTGGTTTTACCCTAGGTTCCTGGGCTATCTAGTCTCAGGTTCTTGGTCACCCAAGCAGTGTTAGATATGGGTTCCATCCTCACAGAGTGGGCCTTAAGTCAAAATTAGTTGGTTACTCCCACAAGTTTTGTGCCACCACTAGCATATCTTGCGGACAGGATACCATTGTAGATCAAAGGGTTTGTAGATGGGTTAGTGTTTAAATTTCTCCTTTGGTAGTATGCAGAGTACCTTCCTGTGCTAAAGATGTTAGCACATAGGGATGAAGGCTCTATGTAGGCACCAGCTCAACATCTCCATGTTCAATAAGTTGCACAGGTATCTTTAACAAAGAGGCCTTGCTGTTGGTTATGAAGAGCAAACTGTAGTCTTAGCAACAGCCTTGTTTCTTTGGAGGTTCCCATGGGACACTGTAGCGATAACACCCACGTTACCACCACCTGTTCACCATGTCTGAGCGAGGGGTTGTGGATCAAAAAAAACAGAGACAAAAGACAGCGGGTCATTCGCCTCAGCAAAATGCCGAATGCCATTTATTGAAAGAGGGAGGAAACCTTAAATACAGGCTTACAGCACAATGGGAGAACCCCAGAGGGCAAAAGTTCGCTATTGATGTTTACAATCTTGAATCTAAGCTGTTAACGCCCAATATGCAGGATACACAAACAAGGAACTTCCCTTAAGCATTCAGAAGGGTGGATACCGGCAGGGAATTAGCATAGGGAGGACATCTGGTCAAGGTCGGCAAGC